CCCCCCCCTTTGCTTAACTTAAAGAGCTGCTTGGAATATCTTTTTACCTTATTTTGTTTGTTGAAGCTAAACCTTAAATTTTCTCAGTGGGAGTGAGGAGGGGATGGTGGGCACCTGCTTCAGGGAGCCAGTCTTACTCATTTTTGTGACAGGTGGCTGGTCAGGTTCTTGCTTGTCATTGGAACTTTGAAAATGTGGAGTGTCATGCTAGGGAACAGCTGATGCCGGAAATGACAGGCTAAAGAAACCTCTTTTTATTCAGACACTGTCTCTGAGTTTGTTATGGCTAAGTTTATTAAAGTAATCACCACCCTGAAAAGCCACCAGAAAAAACAAATATGGACCTGTTAGCAGGGATATAATATGAACTATGCTTAGCAGCACAAGAAAGAACTCCCTGTCCTGAGAAGAGAGAGTTCAGCATTGTGACTTGTGTAAACAGAGAGTGTAGCTTACAGATGCAGGCTTGCTCTGTGCCAAACACAACTTTTGGCGGGTGTAAATGCCAAGGTCAGAGTTTGCTCCTGTATCCCTCAGACATGAGTGGGTTGAGGACAGGCTGCGGAGGGAATTTGTTATACAGCTGGCTGTGGACAGGGATATGCTTGCTAGGTCTACCTACCCTACTTGGGCCTTGTTTTCTGTGGATGTCACAGCTAACGAGTCTACCGAGGGGCAGGCATAGGGAGAGCTGCCTTTCCTGTGGTTTTCTTCTTTTGGCCTCAGATGGGGAATTGAGTAGCTTTCTTGGCAGAGTGGTACATTTGAGTCTTGTGGCTGTGCTTGATTTTGGCAGGGCGGTGAGAGGGTAGTGGCTTGCTTTTTTTCTTCTTCTTCACCTTCTTTCCCCACAAATACCGCTTCCCTTGTAGAAGTATGCCAGGTGAAATTGTGTAAACATGACATTCTTTGCAGGCCTGTCTGCCACTCGTCTGTTGTTGCTTCTCTGTAGATTTTTTCCAGGCCAGTACTTCTGCTTGGCATTAGCCAGCTGGGACCTTGACCTCACCAGCACTTTGTCTTCAGTCCTGGTGTGTTGGGAGGCAGAGGATGTAGGGGGTGGAAGTTGGGTAAGTGTTGAACTGAGCATGATATAGCAAATGAGGCTATATATTTTTTTTTCCGAAGCTCAAACCGTTTCTTAAAAAGGAAGAACAGTTTAAAAGTTCCTGGAGAAACCAGCAGTTTCTAGACGATTTTGAGTTAAAGTTGTTATACAGTTAGTAGAGTTTTATTTTTAAGCATTTACCAAGAGTGCACTTGAGTGGAAAAAAATATCTTTCTTTGAGTAGTTTCAAGTTTGTATTTTCAGTAGCCCTCTTGGTGACTTGGCAGTTGTTAGGAGCGTTAGGTAGATTTTGCTGTTGTAGGTGGTATTCCTGTTTTAGATACTATTATTTTCATGGACTGCAGGACTAAGAGGTTAGTGCTCTGCTGCTGCAACCCCTGCTGAGTGAGGTAAAAGGCCTATCAGGCTAAGCGCTTTCCCTACAATAGGTCAGCTATGTTTCATGTCGATACAGTGACCTTGTTACGTACATGGCAGCTCCATGGTTACTTTGCAGCTGCCAGTGCTCTGAATAAGAATGCAAATATCAAATGTCAGTGTCCCTTTCTCTCCCTTCCAGGTGTTTAGGACCGACCTGATCACCGCTATGAAGTTGCATGACTCCTACCAGCTGAACCCGGATGAGTACTATGTGTTGGCAGATCCCTGGAGGCAGGAGTGGGAGAAAGGGGTCCAGGTCCCGGTGAGCCCTGGGACCATTCCTCAGCCTGTGGCCAGGTAGAAAATCCCCCAAGGAGAGAAGTGCTGGTCTGCCCTTCTTGTTTTTCCTCCTTTGACAGCCAGGCCAGATAAATGGTACCTGAGAAGAAGCAGGTTTTGACTGAACAGCAAAATAATGAGGTCTCAAGTGGAAATGGAAATGTAGGAGAAACACACCTCAGGTTGAAGGGTAGTTGTTTTGAAGACATGGTGTTTTGGACTTAACTTCATAGCCATCAAGATGTTGATTTCTCCAAAGAGGCAAGTTCCAAGACAATCTGAGAAGGGACTGACTTGGGACAGAAATGTGGATATTCACACGATTGCTACCTTCTTTCTGTGTGTGCTTCTCCCCTTGATCATTTTTAATCTAGAGAAGGACTCCATTGGACAGCAAGTATCTGGGAACTAGGAAGGGTAGCTTTTCTGATTCTTCAGTGGTTGATTTCACTTTTAGAGGAACACAGATGTCTGGAGGCTGACCAGGATGGGGTGATGTAAAAAGGTTTGTAGAGGTGAAGTTTAATGAATGAGTTTTCCAGTTGTTTTTGAGGTGCGTCTTCTGAATTTACTTATAAATCGCTTGTCATATTAAGGTCTCTGAGAGCCAGGTCCTCGTTGATTCCCCTGAGAATGTGGCTGTAGCTAGTTTGCCTATTTTCTCACCCTCTGACTTTGCTGACTTAGATGCTCCTCTCTGGGAGAGGACTGAGTGCCTTAGCACTCAACTGGCACCTGTGTGTCGCTGTGTTGTCTGATGACTGCCTGCTTTGTTGAAATGGTCTCTCTCACCATTACTAGGTTTAGACAGAATTTACTTCTCTGCTCTCACTCCCTTTGTAAAGTTTTCTTCAGGCACTTGAGGTGATTAATTGTGATTGTTGTAATTTCTCTTCGAGAAATCTATAGAATAGTAGGAAATATCCCTATCCCACGACCAACCCCAAACCCACTGCTGTTAAGTTGGTTCTGACTCCTCTGACAGATTTCTTAAGTGATACAGGAAACTGCCCATCTTTGTCTCTTTGACCAAGCCGCTGGTAGGTTTGAACCTTTTCGTTAGCCTGATATGTTATGTACTTTGTCACCATGGCTTCTTTATCTCACTGCAGCCATCATTAATTTGCGGGCTTAAACCACTGATCAGAAGCACTTCTATAGGTTAGAATCCTGTCAGGAGAAGGGGCTTTTTCTCTGGACTCTTTAGGGTAAACAAAGTGTATTTACTGTATAGTCTGTATCTGAGCTGCATTACCAGCTGTTTCAGCATTGGTGGCCTCAATGCAAGGATTATTTGCTAAATGAGAGCCCAACAAAAGGCATAAGAATTAAAACAGTTCATGGCCTTTTTCAGCAAAACAAATCTCATGGTTTTCTCATTTCAGTGAAGTATAGATAAAGAATTCTTGTTATTACAAAAGTAATAGAAATACTTTGCCAAATTCTTTGGGCTGTTGATTGATATTAATACAGACAGTTGAAACACTGAGATATGGAGGAACTCTGTGAGTATGTGGGCCTTTGAGTCTGGGCATTTTGCTCTTAGGGTGAGAGCTCTTAAAGGTCTAAAGGGATGTTGCGAGATGTTGTCATTGATTTTGGGTTGGGAACTCTTCTGGTGTTAGCACCTGAGGAGAGAGCATGGCAATAGAGAGAGAGCGCACGCACACACAGTACTTTTGGATGTTAGCAGGTGAGGTTAGAGCATGTACCTGTTGCCATAAAACCTGTGTTCTGCCTCCTGGATTGTATGTAGATTTTGTTGGGAGCGTCACCTACTTGTCTGGGACTGATTATTTGGGTTCTCAGTAATGACTAAGACCTGGTTTTGCTTTCTCCTTTATTTTTAAGATCAGTGCTAGCAGGATTCTGTCCATAGTTCCCCACTACCCTGCTGTGTATGCTCCAGCTCGTGCTGCTCTTCCTTCTTCTGACGGGCTCTGGAGAGAACAGTGTCATCAAGCCATCTGGTTCTAACGGCCTCCAGCAGGGACAGGCAGTCCTGACTAATGGAAAGTGACTTAATGGCTAGCCCTTGACACTTGGGTCAGTGTTTTTTTGGGGTTGCCAGCAGGTCAGAACTGCAGCCATAGAGAATACAGGGTACAGTAGTGTCCTGGGAACTATGATGCAGAAGCAACTGCTTTTGAAAGACTGTGTCGTACTTTTACTTTTTCCCCCATTTTAGGAACTTTAACTTCTGGTCAGAGTTTCATTAGAATTGGCATTAAAACTTTGTGTCTATGCTTTTTATTAACCTTCGTGGGAACTTTTGGGTAATAAAATGGGGTTTTGAGGGTTGGAGGAGGAAACTGCACCTGGGGTCTTCTCACAAACTTCCTTTTATGTGGCAGAAAGGGTAACCTGCCTGCCTTGTGTTCTTGTGAAGTAGGGTCGTGTCTGAAGAAAAGTCCCTCATGTTCATCAGACCTAAGAAATACATTGTATCTTCGGGCTCTGAGCCTCCAGAGTTGGGCTATGTGGACATCCAAACGCTGGCTGACAGTGTGTGTCGCTATGACCTCAATGACATGGATGCTGCGTGGCTGGAATTGACCAATGAAGAATTTAAGGAGATGGGTGAGAGACTATATATTTTATTTTAGTAGCTAATGCTGAATAGAGAAACATATTAAGTCTTAAAACGCATACACACACAACACACACATATGTTGGCAAATCTGTTGCTAACTCAAGGTGAATCCTATTGTTTATGCTCCTTGGCTTTCTTGATTGTAATCTTTATAGAAACAGATCTTCCTGGATTTTCTGGGTGGGGTTGAGCCACTAACTTTTTGCATACTGTTTGTGACACCCAGGGATCTGTTTAGGTATGCACGTGAACAGTAAAAGTCCTTTATAACTAGCTGATCCAGTTCCATCATCTCTTATAAAAGCTCAAAGTTACTGCCTTTCAGCTGATTCCAACTCATGGCAGTTCTCCATTGGGTTTTTGAGGCTGTAAATCTTTAACAGGAGACTGCCTGCATGTCTCCCTTAGATTTCACACCATGTGAGACATGTAGGCTTTGGGTTAGCAGCACAACAGGCTTTTAACTGCACCACTAGCGCTCATCAGTTTTAGTTAATGCCAGAATCCTGTGCTGTTTCTTTAGAAAGAAACTTGTGGGGAGCTCTGGTGGTCTAGTGGCAAGAAGCTGCACTGCAATCCCAGAGACGCATGGTTCGAATCCACCAGATGCTCTGCCAGGAAAAGAGGGACAATCTCCTTCTGTACCAGTCAGATCTGATCTGACAGTACACAGACACACGCACAAAATAATAATAAATAAAAAAAAAAATAGAAAGAAACTTGTTTGACGTTGACAGATATGTTGAAATGGGCACAGAATCTGCCTGAGTCCCAGGAGAGAATGGTGAGGCTGATGAGAGATGTTGTCCGTAGGCTTGGCTTTGGAGCAGGGCTTCAAGTGATTCTGATATTATGAACTTCCCACTCTGGCTCTGAACTAACATCTCATTCATTAATCTTGGGGCACTGGCTCCTAGAGAAATGTAATGATTTCTTTAGGTCACAGAAAGATCTGGGCCCCATGATTTCCTATTTCACTGTTCTGTTGTACCACTTAGATTCCCTGTAGCTGTGAACTCCCATTTCCCAAATGAACTCTAACCAAGCACACTTGTTTCCATATTTATTACTTGTCTTTTCACTTAAGTGATTTTTCTTTAATCCTATTTGAAATCTGGAATGCTTTTTAACTCACTTGGTTACCTCTATCCTGACTTTCCTTTAGGCGAGCTTTATCTTAGTGTGTCCTCTGCCCATCACAGTCTCTTTTCTGTGTATTCTTTTTTCCTGTAAGTGATTAATTTTTCTGTATGTGGAAGTCAAAGCTTATGTACCTCAGTTATTTGTGGAGACCAGCCTGGCGAGTAAGTTTCCTGTTGAATGTCAGTTCAAAGTTTTAAAGGTTGTCTTGAATATAATGAGAGTGACTGTGAGGTTTAGTTTGGGTAACTGTGAAACTCTGAGGATTAATTACTCTTTTGTGCCTCGGCCTGGCATATTGGCATAAGCTGTTATTTGTAATCTCAAAGCAACATCACCCTCAGGTGGATCTAACTTAATGTTCCTGTGTGTTTCACAGAAGGACAGTATTTCAGAAGTAGATTGTCAGGCCTTTCTTCCGATGTGCCAGTGATTTAAAAAATGTCCAGCTTCTTGGTTAGCAGTGGAACCCACCCATTAGTCATTTTTACCACACATTTACACTCTATTTATGATCTATTATTGTCAGATCAATTCCAACTCATAGGATTTCTTAGGCTGTAATCTGTGTGGAAGGGAGCTCTGGTGGCCTAGTGGCAAGAAGCTGCACTGCAGCACCAAAAGCATGAGGTTTGAGGCCACCAGCTGCTCTGCAGGAGAAAGATGGACTCTATGGTATACAATAACAATCGATGGGGAGACAGATCATCAGGTTGTTCAAACAGAGCCTCTGGTAGGTTTAAATCTCCTGTGTTTAGGTGGTGGTTGTTACGTGGTGCTGAGTTGAAACTGACTCCTAGCTGACCCTCTAGCAGGATTTCATAAGCAGTTAATCACACAGGAGAAGACTGCTCATCCTTTTCCCAAGGAGCTCCTGCTGGTGGATTCTAACTTTGTGCTGTTGGAATTGCAGCACAGCTTCTTACCACTAGGCTTCCTTTACCTTTAGGAGGTTGGTGTTGTGTACTATTGAGGTGGCCCTCCCATGGGATTTTAGAGACAGTAGGATTGTAGTACAGCTTCTTACCACTAGAACACCAGAGCTCCCTTAAGAGGTTATTGTTGTGTACCATGAGTTGGAACTGACCCATAGCTGACTCTCCAGTGGGTTCTCAGACGCAGTTAATCGCATGGGAGGAGATTGCCTATCCTTCTCCCACAGGTCACCTGGTGGATTCGTACCCGTGTGCCTTTGGGATTGCAGTGCGCCTTCTTACCTCTTGGCCACGCGTGTGATAAACAGACTCTGGTGGGTCAGCTATATAGGTTAGTCTTGACTTGTTGGCACATAAGAAGTGAAAAAGGTGATTTGATTTACATTATCCTTAGTGTCTGGCTCAGGGCCTGCCACCACATAAATGCTTGTTGTTGCCACAATCTTCATTGACCACTTGAAACCATAGTTGTTACAAGTGTAAACCAAATTGAGTGTTGGTGATTTTCTATTTGGTGGGTCACTCAAGTGCTTTGACAGAGTTGTATTTCCTTTGTCTTTCAGGTATTGGTGGACCAGAGAGTTAGTAGGTAGTAGGCTAGCTTAACAGATTTAAGATACCACCTGAGTACTTGGAGGAAAGAATTATGCAGCTGTTTGGCTAACAAAAACATGCATAAAGACTTGGTCTAGCTGCTGGTCTTTTTTTTTTTAACAGTAAAATTTAGTTATAAGACATAGTGTTGAATTTTCAAAAGTTAGTTGTGTTTTAAAAATTGATGGAGGAGTTGAAAAGTGTCTGGTCTTGCAAATACCATCCCATAATTACAGTAGGATCTGAGATAACATATAGCTTTTTAAAATACATGCTTAGGGCTTATCACAGTGTTGGTCCTAAAGTCTTTAAGTATTTTCATTGTAAGGAACTTGGGAAACATCCACAAACAGGGAAAAATAAATAAAAGTCTTGGGATTCTTACTCTAGCTATAACCACAAAAACCACTTGAAATTAATTTTTGATCATTCTTGCATGAGAATGTGCTTTATATGATTCACCGTGAACTTTTTCCTTTGTTCAGATATTTCCATGCATCTTATTAACGGTGCATTTGAACTTTGGGTGGGAAGGGGTAAACCAGTTAACAGCATTCAAGTGTTTATAGTGAAGTCTGCTTTGAGAGCACTATTTTATTGAACACCATAAAAGAATGTCTTTTAGTAAGAAGAAAAATACCCTAACTACCGTCCACAGATTGTGGTCACAGTTTTGACATCACTTATTTGTTGGTGAATAGACACTTACTATCTTGAAGCAATTTTGAGATTTATCCTTTCTTTTTTATTGTGCCCTCGTACCTGGCATAGTAAGTAAGAAACAGTTGCACAGAAACTACATTGACTTTAAAGATAGTTCTGATGGAGAGGCATTTAATAGAAAATAGTTGAGGCACCAAGAGGTGGATTGATTTATAATGTTATATGTTATAAGAAGAAAAATATTAAGTCAGTTGGCATGAGTTGGAGCTGATTTTATGACAGTAACATTTTTCTAATTATTTGTTAATGTAAATATGTTAAGTGGGATTTGTGACACCTTTTTCTACAGGAATGCCTGAACTAGATGAATATACCATGGAAAGGGTCTTGGAGGAATTTGAACAGCGATGCTACGACAATATGAACCATGCTATCGAGACTGAAGAAGGGCTGGGGATTGAATATGACGAAGATGTGGTCTGTGATGTCTGCCAGTCACCTGATGGTGAAGATGGCAACGAGATGGTTTTCTGTGACAAATGCAACATCTGTGTGCATCAGGTATGTGGAGAGCATGGCCCAGAGGCCATCTGTGATGTAGAGTCCTTTGCCAGCAGGAAACATCAATTTTTCCTCTAAAACTGGGTCTGTTTTCCCACTGTCTTCAGTGACTGAAAGAATTATGTCCTTTAGACAAAAATCTCCAGCCACTTTCCTGAATCCACAATTGGTTTAAAGCAGTTTTTAATGGGGCTTCTCTTTGGTGATCTTCAGTGAGTGTTTTTATGCTTCTCCATAGAAGTCATTATTGCTGTAAAAGAATAACTGAACCCCCTTGACCCTGCTTTGACATCTAATTTTAGGTATTATAGATCTGGGAAAGGATTGCTAGTTTGCTATCATTGTATTAGAAATTAAATTGTTACAGAAGTGGTGAGGCAGCCTTTTTCTTGGGTCATTTCCTTGTCCTCCTCAATGCTGTCTGTGTTATCTGTGCCTTTAAGTTGGGACAGACTTACAGCTGACCCATTAATGGGCTTTAAGAGGTGTAAATTGCATGGGAGGAGAAGGGACTTTTAGTTCTGAACAACTGATAGTTCTGAACAACTGCCTTTGCGTAGGCAGTGCAGCTCCTTACCACTAGGCCCCCAGAGCTCCCAATGCTATTCATAGAAAAGTAAATCTTATAAATGAGGGTGGACATGGGGGCGTTGGGGAGAAAAAAATCTTATGACATTCTTAGTCTCTCTTTTGTTTTTAATGCAATGTTGTTGTTTGCCATTGAGTTGGAACTGACTCCTAACTGACCCTCCAGGGAGTTTTCAGAGGCAGTAAATTGAATGGAGGGAGATTTACTCCCTCCATTTATTCAGCCTGTTTGTTTGAATCTTGTACCTTTGGGATTGCAGCACAGCTTCTGATTCCTAGGCCACCGTTGCTCCCTTTTAATGCAGTATTGAAATACAGTTGACCTTTAAATAACTTGGGGGTTAGGAATGCTCTTCCCCCTACGTAAAATTCTAACTACTGTTAGCCTACTGTTTACTAGAAAGCTTACTGATAAGTTGATTAACATATATTTTGTTATATATATTATATCCTGCACCTTATAAGCTGTTGTTGTGTCCTCGAGCTGGAATTGACTCATAGCTGAATCTACTGGTTTTTCAGTGGCTCCAAATGGCACAGAAGGAGATTACTCATCTTTCCCCCCCTGAGTGACAGGTGGATCCAAAATACCTGCCTTTGAATTGGCAGCACAACTCCATACCACCAGGCCGCCAGTGTACTTATTCAGTATTAGATAAAAATGTATTTTGCAAAAAGTTCAGAGTTTTCACACTTGCTGGCATAATTTCAGTGACAGCTTCACAAGTTTCCTTTTGTTATTTACAATGATCTTATGCTGCTTTTATTCATTTTGAAGTGGTGGGCAACTATATCTGCAGACCTCAATCCACATACAATTTTTATCAAGCAGCTCATCTTTTTCTTACAATGTCAAGCCTTTGCTTCCTTCGTCACCCCCTTACTTTGTCTCTTTTTATTATTATTTTCAAATATTCATTCACTGTTTTACAGTTTACTCCCTCCCTTGCTTTCCCCTTTACCCAGTACACTTTGCAGTACACTTCTTATTCTGGATTATTTTCATACATAAAATACCTAATCATATATTCCTTTTAAACCGTTCTTTTCTCTGTCTGTTCCAATGCAGTGTTACTTTTCTATTCACTCTTTTCCTATTCTCCATGTCAGTTATAAAAGTGGTGTTGGCCTTTACTTCTTGAGAGCATTTTAGGGATGACTTGTGGCTTCATATGGGTCTCATGGTGTTAGTCAAGGTTTATGGTATTCACTAAATTTTATAAGAATTTAAAAGACCTATTTTACTGAGATAAGCCGTTTACTCGAGAAAATGATCTCTTGAGAAGATAATTAGCATAATACAACATTTTTAAAAAATTCATGTATAAGTAGACTCAGTTCAAAATTATATTGTTCAAGAAGTTTATCTATTCATGCTAAGATTTAAGAAACAAGCTTCTGTTTGTTTCATGAGGCTCTTTGTTATTAGTTTGTTTACAAACATACCTGACCGTGGACTTTTCTACTTGTCCTCTTGTCCCAGCCTACATTGAGGAGGAGACTAAAGACTAGAATGAGTCAAGTTTATTTTGCAACTGTAAATTTTAAAAATGCCAAGGAAGTTTTCTTAAGATGACGGAGAAGGCCTTTACTGGTTTTGTTGTAATGCAGTCATATGACTGACATTACACTTTTTTTTTGGTTACTGGTTCTCTCTTGTTAATTCATTTTCTGCATTTTATGTGTATTAATTTTTTTTATGTAAAATCTTTTGTTTGGAGAAAGAAGGGTTCTGAAATGGAAATCTTGAAAACTATTAGTCGAACCCTATTTTATGTCATGTGATGGCAGAATTGGAATTAGAGAACCCCAAGACTCCGGAAGCTCTCCACCCTTTTTTGCCTGCTTTTCCTAAACTTCATTTTTCTTTTGAAAAGTCCTTCATGATTTGTCTTGATGGCATATTTTAATTAATGTAGATAGATTTTTCCAGTAGAGAGAAAAAAAAAAAAGACCTTCTAAAATGTCTGATAAAGTGTATATAAAGCTTAACAGTGTAATTTAGTGCTATGCAAGTTTTTAGTTTTCAGTGAGTCTGTGTTGACAGTGCTTTATTTGTGACACTAGTGCTGCCTTTTAAGCGCCACTCTTAAGTTCACTTCACGTCACTCAGCCCTTGTCCTGTGGTTTCCTCTGCATCCTGAATATTCAAATTGCTGTGTTTTTTCTGTCTGGAGAATTGGAGCTACGTTACTGTGACTCTCAACTTCCTGACTTCCAGTTCATATAAGGATAAAGTTCTGAACGTTTGGATTTTAAAAGGCTGTGCTTTCAGTACCATCATGGTTTCTTCACTTACTTAACATTTGCCTTTTCTCTCTTTAAGCCATCTTAATTACTTGAGTTATAAAAGCCTTGATTTCTGCTATTTTGTGTAATTTTGCCATCATGTGCAAAGCATCTTTTGAGTATCAGCTGAGGAAACCAAATCTTCTTGTCTAGGATCCCTTATCTGTGTTTATTCACCGGAAGAGTATTGTAATATAGCTAGTAGAGTTCCCTTAGCTGAGGCATGAAGATCCTTGGTTTGTTGCCTTTGCCATCTTAATAGCATTTGGAGGATTTTCTTAAAGTTTTTGTACTTCTTCCCTTCTCTCTCACTTTATATCTTTTATTCCTAATCCTATGGACCGGAGTAACAGCTGCAACCTAATCTACATAGCCATTTAAAGTGATTTTAGGATTTACTGATCAATATTTGGAATCTAGTAGAGGTAAGTGTTTAGTGACAGTACATCAGAGCATCTTTTTATGTACATCTTTTTCTTCCCAAGTTTTCAGGAACCCAAAGACAAAAAGTCATACCTCTTGCTACTGACTTGATTCTGACCCACGGAGAATCTCTTATGTGTCAGAATTAGAATTGTTCTTGATCACTTTTTCAGTTACTCTGATCTTTCAGAAGTATATTACTAGGACTTTCTCATTAGGTGCCTCTGGGTATGTTTGAACTGTCAACTTGTATTGGTAGCTGAGTGCAAACATTATATCATCCAAAGACCATCTTCTGCTAAATAAACACGTATTGTGCCTATATAGCCAACATGCGTTGTCTCACACCCCTCCTTGCTACTATCAGCCTGATAGTGGCACTTTTTCACACTCGATGGAAATGGGATGCTTTTTTTTTGCATGTGTGTCGTTGTGTTCAGATCTTTCCAAGTGTTTTAAAATAATTTGATAGAATGGTAAAAAATCTTTTCTCTTTTTTTTTCTTGGGTGTTGTGTCACAGGCCTGTTACGGAATCCTCAAAGTGCCAGAGGGCAGCTGGTTATGCCGGACATGTGCCCTGGGGGTGCAGCCCAAGTGTTTGCTGTGTCCCAAGAAAGGTGGAGCAATGAAGCCAACCCGCAGTGGAACCAAATGGGTCCACGTCAGCTGTGCCCTGTGGATCCCTGAGGTAAGTGTGGGTCTTACCTCGACTTTAGCTCGGGGTCAGGATTTCTAAGTGGGATGGGGGACCGTTCATAAGTGGGCATCGTTGTAGGCACATGAAAAAAAAAGACATTTTAAAATTGACATTTCTTTTTCCTGTAAACTGATTCTCAAACATACTGTCATCTTGCCATGGTATGCAAATTTGTGGAAATGTTAAGTTGGAGAAGCAGTGAGCTCAATTCTAGGTTAGTGATATTCAACTTTGCCTCAAATGTCAGCTAACTTTTCCCTCCTGACACAGTCCAGGAGAAAAACGGACTCTTCCCCTAAATGTTGGCAAGGAATCCTTGCACTTGGTGAGCCTGAAAGGTAGCACTTCAATGACTAAGACAAGCTACTGTAGGTCACATATTTGTGATTTGCTTGCATACGTTTCAGGTCAGGTCCAGCTCAATGTAAGTTCTAGAACTTGACTAATTTAATTTACTTGTCTCACTTGGAGAATAAAATTTGTGATTCTTATTTTAGCATTTTTTTATACATGGTTAGCTGCATGTTTCTTGAGGAAAGTAACACGGAGATGATTTAGATTGAGGCTGAGTTGAAGCAGCCCTGATGCGAGTCTTGGTGGCAATGGGCTTGTGGTTTGGCAATGGTTGCAGCACAAACCTGTCCAGGTGTATAGACAATTCTTTTATTTTGGTGACTTTTCACTTTGAAGGCAGCACAATGTTTGCTAACTGAAGAGAGTGGTGTTCTTTAGTGAGAGAGTTTAAAAATACATTTCCTAACTCTGGTGTTACAATCTCCTTAAATATATGTAAGATTAGATTTTTAGTCTTGACCACTTCCTCATGGGCCAGAAGTTACTATAGAGTCATTGCACTGTCCTTATGCATAATTTTTGCCATTCTGGTAGGAAAAGGAAAAAGTGAAAATTCAGAGATCTGAGTGTTCCCACAAATGAAGATGTTGATGTAGGACGGGTACCTTAGTGTGCAGGGAGAAACAAGAACTGTGAGTGGACTCTGCTCTACTGACGTTGGCTCAGAGTGTGGCCTTGGTTGCTTCTAAAGTAGAGATTTGCTTGATTTAAGTAGAGATTTGCTTGTCACTTAAGAGGTATGAACGGGGATGGGAAATGAACAGATCTTTAAGTTTCCACTGTCAGCTTTCAGCCTTTGTCTTGACAGCCCCTGCCACCTTGTCTTTCTCTTTCTTGAACCTCTAGGTCAGCATTGGCAGCCCTGAGAAGATGGAGCCCATCACCAAGGTCTCACACATCCCCAGCAGCCGATGGGCTCTTGTGTGCAGCTTATGCAATGAAAAGTTTGGGGCCTCCATACAGGTAATTAATTAATAATAATGACTTCCTTTTGGTCCACTGTATTGTGGGAAACAGGATGAGTGAGGGCTCTTATGAACTGTTGTAGAGTGGGGAGTTGGAACTAGAATCTAGGAGGCAGGGCTGGAGTCTGACAGCACTTCATAGTTCACAGCGCTGTCTCTGCTCTTGCAGGGAAACCTTTGTTTGTCTGATTGTACTCAGTATAACCAGAGTAAAAGCTGTAACAATCTCAGGGTCATTCAGATGTCTGTTTGAGCTGCGAGGCACTTCAGCTCTTCCTGCATTGCAGCCTCAAACCTGGCATCTCAGAATGTTTTTTCCATAAGTAGGTTCTTTTTAGGGAAGAGAATGCACTTTACATGCACATTCTTCGACATGGGACTTAAGGGCTAGCTTCTGTCCCACCTGGTGGGTGTGCAGCTGTAAGCCTGAGTCCTGAGGCTTGTCATTTCCCATGTGTGATGTGTTCAGGCCTTAGGGACACCCGCTAGTTATCATTTTGGCATGCTGATGTTTTTACCTGGAAGATAAAGTCCTCCTCAGAGCACAGTCTGGATAAAGGGACAGATAGAAGGTGCTGTAATAAAAGTTACACAAATACAGTCTAGATATCTGATTCTTTATGCCACCATACATGTTGTTGTTGTTAAATGCTCTTGAGTTGTAGGCAACTCATAGCAACCCTATGAACTTTTTCCATTTCTCCAAGTTGATAGGGTTTCCAGAGGCAAGGTATTTTGGAGGTGGATGCCACTCATGCTAAAAGGGCAGGTTTTTATGTAAAGTAATATGCAAGCATTTTTGTCTCCAGATACAAACTTTGTTAGCAAGTCTTGAGACAGAATTGAAGCAGAAATGTAAATGCTTGCTATCCTTTAATGTTGTCTGAAACTTTAGTTAAGAAGCTAATCCTTTTTTCTCATTTTAGTGCCATCTTGGCTATCATGATTTGAGAGGCTTAACCAGTGCTCACCACAGTCTCCAAATGTTGGGACTCATTTGGCCTTCTGGGACATGCCCTCTCCTCTAGGGGTGCTATTGCAGAGTCAGGGACTGTTACAGCATCCATGTCTTGTTCCATGTCCTGAGGCACTGTCTTGAGGCATCTTCTCTCTCTCTCTCTTTTTTTTTTTTTTAAATTTTTTTTTTTGGTGTACCTTCAAATTGGACCTGATTGGTACTGGAGGATATTGCCCCTTCCTTCTCCAGCAGAGCATCTGGTGGATTTGAACCGCATACCTCTGGGATTGCAGTGCAGCTCTTGCCACCAGAGCTCCCTGGCAATCTTCTCTTGATGCAGAAAATTTAACAGTGCTAAAACACACACATAAACTACACAAGCATGGTCAAATTGATAGTTGTGGGCTTTAAAGAATTGACCTCACTTAGTAAGGTCAGTTTGTTCTTTGGGTAAATCCTATTTAGTAAGGCATAACCACTGATTGGTTTAATTTTTTTTTCTGGTTCACTAACACCTTGACTTACCACTTCCACCAATGTCCACATATCCAAAATGTAACAGGTGCTCACAGAGTAGAATGGGAGGCCACCTAGGGGAATATGGCTGAGGTGTGCTTAAAGAGGGGAAGTCTTTATTGGATAAGGGTAGAATTTCTTTACAAGTAAATGATGATGAAAACATTTGGCCTTGAGAGTTGGACTGAGGAAGATGATCCTCAAGTACAACTTTTAAGTAAAGGCATTTGGTGTGTGCATGTATGTAAACGTGTAGGAAACAAGGTGTGGCAAACCAAGGGAAATGGAAGTTACTTTCTTCCAGGTTACCTGTTGTTATGAGGACTGAATTTATGTCCCTTTCCTCAGCAAGTCAGCCATGGTCCTTACTTGATGTTTAAGTGGGAAGTAAATGGGATCTTTGTCTCTTTTGAAGAACATTAATTTTTGAAGAACATTAATTCAAAGGGAGAGAGGCCAAAGAGGGTTGGATTCCCCCCTCCCATATCTGTACATAATGGATTGATTTTATTAAAGAATTCCTCTCTGAAATGTCTGCAGCTGTGAAGGCTCTGGTTTATGTTTCTGTAACATCTGTTTGCTGAGTCAACCTGAATAGGAAAACCCAGAGGAAGGCAGGCAATGTGGCACTTTTACAAAGTCCCATATAAATTTTCTGCTGAAGTTTATTTCTCTTTAAGGTCAGCGTGAAGTGCAGTGGAAGCCATACAGAGATAGTTTCTCGGTTCCCACTCTTTTTTCCTTCCCACTTGGCTGCATGCTGACAGGGAGGGCTGCTTTGTGTGTTATGACTCTGTGTGTGTGTGTGTGTGTGTGTGTGTGTGTGTGTGTGTGTGTGTGTGTGTGTGTGTGTGTGTGTGTGTT